GTGGCACAGTTTGGTAAACACTCCCTGACCTGTGTGTGCCCTTCTTGAGCTTCACCACCCCTTCATTCCAAAATGTTTTGACACATAGCCTCCATTTCTTCCCCTCTGCCCGTTTCTTAAGCCTACTGAAAGCCTGTCTTGGGGACCCTGTCACTGACTCCAAGGGGCACTGAGCCCTGGCATGCAGCATTGCCTGTGAGCGTTCCTGCCTCCTCAGCTCTTTCCTGGGCTTCTGGAGTGCTCATTCCTTGCTCCCATCTTCTCCCAGTCCCATCTGGCTTCAGCTCCTCCTGCTTCTTCCCCTCTTTCCACCCCCTGCATCCTCCTGAGATAGCCCCCACCGCCCGCTGTGTTGAGCACTAACCTACAGGTCCAGCAGGTTTGCTCACCTGGGCTCTGACCCCGTAGGTCCACTGTAGGCACCTCACACTCAGCCTAGCAAGCCCGGTCAGCCTAGCAGTCCCTAGACTGCTTCTCCTGTTGACCTCCCATGGCCCAACAAGAGACCTGGAGGGTGCCTCCTCCTCCTCTCCCCATTTTGATTAGTAAATCTGCTTTACCTCTAAGATATGGCCTGGTCTGCTCACTTCCCAAGGACCTGGTGGTTCAGGGTGGACCTTGATAATGGCCTCCTGGCCTCCTCCAATACGCCCTCCTCCCCATGCTGCTGCCACTGGAGCACTTCACACTGAATCCCAGATCCTGACCTGCCCTCTGGACAGCGAGGCTGCGTCAGTGACGACTGTGAACACCTTCCTGGCCACTCACCAAGCTGGGGTGACAGATGAAGCCAACTGAAGAGCTAGGAAGAGCAGGAGCAGGACTGACTTCTCCATAATGACCCCTTTGAATGACAACACTGCTCCTACGGAGGACTCTGCTCTCTAAAGTCACCCACCGGCAGAAACTTGCTGTTTGAAATTCTGTGGGTCCAAATGACCCAGCGGCTCTCCCTGGAGGACCGTGGCAGCAGTGACTGGAGTGGCCGCGGGGGTTCTAGCCCAGCGTGACTCCTTGCAGGCAGTTTCTGGACATCCTGAACCGCAGCATCTTAACTCAGAGGTCCACTTTGCAGAGGCTTGAGGCTGGCCCTTCGCACACAGCCTCATCTGAACTTGACCTGAGCTCCGTCATGTGGAAACTCTTGGCCTCTTCAGGTGAGTGGCCCCAGTTAGCACACCTGACAGCACAAGAGCAACCCAGGGGTGCCAGGCAGTTTGGGCTGGGACAGCTGTAAGATCCACGGAGGCAGCACTGTCTTCTAGTTTACTTGTGTGTGTGGCACTCCCACCACGGTGCAAGGGGTGACGAGCCAGCCGTGAGCACCACTGCC